ATTCAAATATTTTGGCCCTTGTGTAGCTACTGTAAATGACTACCACAACCCGAAAGAACTCTCGGTGTCAAATGTTGTAACTAGCGAGTGTACATTGACCTAAAAAAAAAGAGCCACCACCATTTCCCGAGCTGCAGTACATTCTGACCAACTAAATATGAATGAGAACTATATGACTGACAATATACAATCTATTAGGAACAATCTGGCACAATTAAAGCCCCGCAAATGGCCATTACATAAAAATACAGGAAACAGTGAACTTTGGAAAAGAGTTGGTCTTTGGGTGTGCCTAATTAAATGCAGACGAAGTGCATTTCTGCTAATGGCCTATTCTGGGCCAGTGTGTGCAGTAAGTGTAGTAAAAAGTGGCTTCTCGTCAGGCGTCTCTGCACAAAGGGCAGCTGTGTGGCTGGGCTCCCACTGAGGCCTCCTTTGTTTCACCCCGAGATAAAGGGTTAAAGAAGACAAATGGAGGCGGGGCCACCGAGCAACTTGCCTCAGCAGCACATTGCCAGTAGAAGTAAGAGTTAAAACAATGTAGGCCTTTATTCCTGTGTCAGTCTAATTGGAAAGAAGCTCATTTCTGCTGTATTTTGCTCTCCTCAGACATCCACCATGGAGGGAATATGTGGCACTAAATCCCTGGAGCCTGCATTTCCTGCACCCTCATTGGAAACATTAATATGCAAAGTGGGTGGATGTAAAACACACACACACACAAGGCTGCATATGGGCCTACCTCATTTCAGTCTATTACTCATGGAAATGTCATAGAAAGGTATCAGTTGACGACCACATGTAATTGACGGTTCTCTTACTCCATTGTTTAATCTTGGGCGTTTTTGGGGGGGGTTCGGGGGGAGGGAAGCAAATAGCAACTAACACCGTAACCGCTTAAGAATCACAAAACAGCAGCAGCAAGCCACGGAATTGCCGTGCAGGTGACCCACAGTTCCAGGGGCAACTTTGTTTTAACAAGCCAGGCAAGGTTCCATCACTTAGCAAGTATGCTTTGACCACAAAAGAGAGCCATGTGTCGCAGAAGTACTAATGGAGAGGAAATTAAATATTACACTAAGAGGGAATAAAAGGTTCAGCTGCGTGAGGGGGAGGAGCTACGAGCAGGCCTGGGGCGGTTTATAGGAGATATTACACTGCGGGAACTTGCCAAGTAGAATGAAAGTTTACAGGGACAGACATTTAAACCAACTCTGTTTTCACTAGCGTAGACCCTTACAATTTGCTGTAATCGCTTTGCTGCGACTATTGCAACATAAATCCTGATCTTGTCAATGCGGAGAAAGCCTACACAGCTCGAGTTGTGCTGCTCTTTCAGTTGACATTGCGGTAGAATCTGTCACAAAAAGGCGATTTATGAGTGGGCCCTATTAATAAGCATGGAGCCTGAGACATCAGTTTTTCATCAAAAGTACAGACCACTGCAAAGGTTATTTAGTGAAGGAGGCCTTACTGTGGGTGGGTTAGATCATCTGAACATCGTTAAACACGCTCCAAACCTTCAAGGCACACTATAATGACACGCAAGTCCCTATGGTGGAGAAACTCCCTTTTGGTGGCAAGCCAATTGGCCGGTGAAAAGGTCACGTACAATGAACACTGGGATGGCGTAATTTTAAGACAACATTAGTTTTAGCTACTTGGCAATTTTAAACGTACTTCAGTGACTGCTTTGCAACATCTGAAACCCAATTTTGAGCTATCAAAATAGATGTGTTTGAGTTGCAGCAGTGTCCGTCCGCTACACAGGGACTGGAGTGTGACACTGTCACAGGGTGACCAGATATATACCAAATAGGCATGCCAAAGAAGGTGATAATAGTTTAAGATTTTTAATTCTATTTTATATTTTTTATTATATATTTTTTATTCAGTTTTCATTAGATATTAGAGTTTAGTTTTTTTTGTATTAGTTATATTTGTTTTTTTATTGATTATAAGTAACTATTGGTTTTACTTTTATATCTTTCACGAAAGTGGTTTTTCAATGTACCGGTAGTTATTTTGTTAGTTGGGACTAGAGTGAAACGATATTCAACAGGATGATTTCAAACAAGTCAAACTAACAATTAGGATTAGAATACCGTGGGCCCTGGTATACTCACCGTTCCGCGCCGGCAAATTCACCTATTCCCTGATTTTTTTCCCAATATTTAGGTTTTTTTTTCTTTATTTGGAGGTGGGGGGGAACAAACTTCTGATTTTCATGGAAAAGACTTGCTGGTGGTTTCTATTTTTTGCGTTAAAGATAATAATAAACATTGATGATGGAGTGCCAGTGATGTCACTGTTTTATCATAAGATTCAATGCACTCAACTGTGAGCTAGGGAAGCTTCAAATGCAGGTTGTGTACTTTTTGGGTAGAATGAAGTAACCCATGTTCTTTCAACCAATCATCAGACCACAGTGTGTCTTACCTGAGTGTCAGGGTACCAAAAAGTGTTATTTTGACGAAAACTCCTCACTGTACTGAACAAGACTCAAGAAATCGGTTTGAACCGCCACGTGGTTTGGCTGTTTGATTGTTATATAAGGCAACAATTGTATTTTTCATGGCGCGTCCTCACAGTATCATTACTGTGAGACTATAACTGAAGTGACTCCACAGAAAAGATCCGCAGGCAGTTGTGTGTCTGTGAGTGCGATATAATCCACGTGCAGCCACAGCGAAGGGCTCCATTAGCCCTAACCTTAGGCTTTCATCCTAAAATGGCCAATAAGCACATCAAACAATGAATAAGAAAACAACAAAAAAAACGGATTGATAAGCACATCCGCCAAAGGAAAAAAAAAACTATGTAAGTACAAACCGTGCCTCCGCTCTCATCTACACAAGAGAGGAAAAGTAAATTCCCAACCCTTTTAACCTAAATAGCCTTTCCTCTTGCCATTGCATGTTCGCTTGTCCACTGTACTGTAGTCATTAACATATTTGGAGTGCAGTGAGCAGAAAGCTTAATTGTCCCTAATTGCTCAGCTAAATATGTTCTCTAATGATTTGCTTCAGATCTGTGACTGCCTTTTGCGCAATTTCCCGGCCGCTGGCTTCATTATCCCTGCCTCCATGGAACAAAGCGTCTTCACAGTCTGCCCTTTTTTCTTCCGTAACATAGACAGTGAGTATGTGTGCGAGGGATGTAATGTCTCCCTCTTGCCGGGACACACAATAGAGCCCCTTTGTGAGGGCACCCGAGTTAAAGTGATTAGAAAACCAAATCTCTGCTAAGAAAGCGTGTTAATTGACCACAGTTCGCTCATCCTAATCAGTCCATAATAAATGAGCAGTCTGGGCACTTTGTTTTAGCCTAGCAAGTGCGTTTTGTCTACTGATGGCCTTCTCCTTGCCACAACTGCCTCTTGACTTAGTACTCTTCCCGTTTTTAACATCAATGGTCTTGTCTCCTTGCGTCTTAAAGCCACTGTCAAGTCAACTCAGGGATTTGGCTCGAAATACATGTTTGAGGATATTTGCTGAAAAACTGTCCGAAGACTGAGAACTATGTCGTCGTCATTTGTGGAGGCATAGTGTTCAACTATTTTAGTTTTCCTATCTTTTTGGGGGTTGCATGGCTAAAACAGCGCTAATTGACACACTTTGGAATCTGGCATGAGTTGCCCTTCCCCACTATATACATTGAGCACCTTTGATTGCATCAGTGTTCATCCAGGACATTTGCAACATACAGTTACCTAGCTAGCTATGCCGACAACCTGAAAATGCATCGTCCCTGAGGGGGAAATTTAATAAGAGGAACTTTAGAGCATCTCATTGTCAGCTGTGCGTGCTCGCACATCATGGAGAGTATGCAAAAAGGCAAGTCCATCTTTACAGCCAGAGTGCGGACATAGGCTTCACCCTGATATGGCTGCTTTAGAGTGCCTCATTGTCACGTCATGGAAAAACCCCATGACGACTTGGCGGAATGCGTTCCAGCCACCGAAGGCTTTAAGTGGATGTATTTTCGTGGCTCAAACATGCACTTATATGTTGGCATGAAAAGGATGCTGACCGAAGTAGCATCCATTTTTCCAGGTTATAGAAATGGTATTTCATTGACAGTTGGCAGTTCAGCATTGGGCGGTTTTAGCGCATTCAGCAACATGCTCACAGCATTCAGGCATGATTTGACATGGTTTTGAAGTCTCATTTAATGTAGGTGATGATTCTTTTAATTATTGAATTTTTTGAGGGTTGTTAAAAATACTCATTTCTGTGCTGGGTCCAGTTTACAAGACATTTATTTTCAGTTTACAGGGGCTTTAAATAGATGCAAAAAATAACTACAGTTTTGATTTTAAGTGATTAACATTTATTGTTTTGTTTGTACAGAAAACATAGGCCTCTGGATTCTTGATCTTGTTGAAGTTCAGCCCATTATGAATATGATTGCATTTTAGGACTAAATACAGTGACCTTAGCACATGTACACTAAAAAGACAAAAGTATTAGCAGCACAAATAAAATACTTAAATACTTAAACTTAAATACTTAATAGTCAATCAGGGTTTGTGTTTGACCGCTTAATTTGGGGCATTTTTATGCATTCAACTCTGATGGCACAATTTGGGGAAGGACATTTTCCTGTTGCAAGTGCAAAACGCAAGGTCCACAAAGGCATGTTTAGATGTGTTTGGTTTGGAAGAACCTGAGAGTCCTGACTCACACGCCATCAAACACCTCTGAGGTGAACTTGACCATGCTCAACATGGTGAGCCTGTCTCTCAAGGATCTCAAGTCCGACATCAGTATTGTTGAATCTCATCAAAGGCCAACAAGTAAAAACTGCCACAGACACCCCAACATCTTATAGAAAGTCTTCCCAAAGGAGTGCTACTTGTTATAGATGCAAGAGGACAATCAAGTGGACATTTTCATTCATGTCCCCTTCCTTTAGGTTTAATGGGAAGTTGAGTCAGACATTTTGCCCACACAGTCAATGTAAAACAGAGATGAGAGCAACAACAGAAGACGTCTAACCTGTATCTGAAGAAGGGCATTTGCGAATGGTAAAGATGGAGCTGAGGTCTTCGTCGTCCTCGGGCAGGCCCTTCTGCAAGCGCTGCAGTTTCCTGAGGCTCTCGCTGCGCTGGTGCTTCATGGAGCGCACATGCTGGATCAGGTTAAGCTTGGCCTTGGTCGAGTAGTTGCACAGCACGCAGTGGTAGTAGCAGGCATCACCCTCCACCGCGTTTTCGTGCTGCTGCAGGTGCTGTGGGAGGAAATGGAGAGAGAGAGAGAGAGAGTGAGGAGAGAAAAAGTGAGAAAGTGGTTCTTGTGGACGGTACTTTCGCTCACACAGTTGGCAAATGAACAAATCAATTCCCAATCACAGTCCTGTTGTTTAACATCCAGACCTCTTCCATTTCAGAACAACTGTTTGGACTGCGCACTTTGTCTGCACTGAGTGTCTGTATTAGCGCCCTAACAGGACAGGAGAGCCCTGGGGGTGGGGAGGGGGTTGGGGGGAACACAAAAGTCTCCCGAATGCAAAGGCGGACAGCAATGGCATCAGCGAGCCTTCAGAAGCCGGGAGCACGGCAGACCAGCAGACGGAAAGAACATTGATTCCCTTCACTCAACACAAGCCTCCCGCCTCTGAAAAGGAAACTCCAAACATCTGCCTGTTTCACGCTCGGGATACTAAATATTGATCACGGCGAGTTAAATCCCAGCTTCATCATGGAGCGCGGCAACGCAGGCCTTGAGAGGCAGGAGGGCCACCGGAAAATTCCGCAACAGGAGGATGACCATTGGAGGACAGTAAATCAGCATCGGTATTGACCTGTCAACCCCATCACTTCCTCCGTGGCTAAAAAGAGACCCTCGTGCAAGCCTTCAGCCTTCACCCAGCAGTATCAAAATACACCCCAAGTGACGCCATAGTACTACAAAGTCTTGTCACACCAGAGCCTCAAGTCTAATTACCTCCTGCATTGCTCAATCAATGATGCAAGACCGGACCTGGTGTGTGCAAGCCAGTTATTGACCATTATCTTAAAGTATCTCACTGGCTGCTTCTTAAGAGCCCCTCGCTCTGCATGGACACTCGAAACACATCTGTCATTTGACACCTCAACATCACACTCCGGCGGCATCCAACTGAGTGTTTGATGTGACTGCAATCAATGTCAATCAGCAGATGTTTTCCATTTGTTCTGGCTTGAGAAGAAGAAATATATGTCGTGACCTCGATTTAACAGATCCGGAACCAACGGACACCGGATTTAACGGGTACAATCTGCAGAAATAGCAGTTTCCGTCTGGAATTCAAAATGTCCGTGCATAGCGAACAACGTCCATTAGTTCTGAATCGGTCACTGTTTGCTGACGCAATCAACAGAGAGAGCCTGGTACTCTCTAGTTCCCTGGCTGAACGCACCATGACAGGCCCTTAGTTGGCCTACGATGGCTCATTTTGTACACACGTCTCTCGAGCATTCTATACTAATTTTGGTTGAGTAAGTATACACTTATTAGTTGTCAGGCCCTTCACTACTGTACGACATCCAAACATAACAGAGGTGAGAAAATGAAGCACGCTAGTATTGGTGACCAATTGGAATTCAGGAAGTTGGGAGTTGGCCCTCTCCATGAAAATATGTTTTGGGTTGAACACATTAATTGCATTTTCAATTCATTTCTGCAGGGAAAATGAATTTGACACAGAAGAAAAATTACAAGCTTGCTCATGGAAAAAAAAATACATTTGTAAGTTAACGCTCCTTTGTATAATAGTGCTCAGCTTTAACTGAAGTATTAATTTTACAACTATTGTATTTTTGTGGTTAACTATTACAAAAGTAACATTTAGGAAGAATCGAGGGAAGTAATATTGGAAAGTTGTCTCATGACCAGTCAGTGTACGCAGAGTTTTGGATCAAGCAGCCTGTATTGTGCAGATGTACCTAATGATGTGGCCACTGGCCAGTGACCAGATCCTGGACTGTTTTTAACTGTTGATATAAACGATGCAGTCGACTATTTTTTTTTTCTATTCATCTAATTAAAAGCGGGAAAGATTCAAGTTGCAATAAAGCCGAGTCTACTTTGCACTGCCAATATTTTCCCCCACATTCTGCATAAAGCTTGAACCTCTCTACAAGATCATTAATCTCCACCCTCGTCCTCATATAAAGTCTCTGAAGACAAGACGAAACCAAGCTAGATGTCCTGCACACATCAGCAATTTAATCACATACCATTCAAATCAGATATAAACTGAAAGGGGAAAAGGGGGATGAACATTTCAATAACAGTAAACGTCCTTGACAGGCTTGTGTCGCTCTCTCCCACTCTTGGTTTCTTACTGGTAATCTTTTAATATTTCCGTGAGGAGTTGCAAGAGATTGTATTTCATTGTTCTTTGCTTCATATTCGTCTGTTTAACAACTAAAATGTGTATTAAGACATCGCTTCCGGGGAAAAAGAAAAGCTCTTTCTTCAACCTCCTTTTTTTTGTAAGCCCCACAGTGCAGTGTAATAGAGTTATTAGGTGATTGCAAAAGGCTCTGTCTCTGCATGCTCTCTTTTCTCTCCTCATTTTAAGCTATCCATGATGTCATGAATAGGTGTTGGTAGATATTATGAGGACCCCCTCTCTCCCCCCGCTTTTCCTCAGTGCGCAAATATTGCATCGGAAGTGAGGCGCAGAGAGATTCGGTAATAGACAACACCAAATCCATCAACGCAAACTGCTCTTAGTCCTCACAGATGTCCTGAATTAAAACAAATTTTCACTGCAAATGACTCACAGCCCCAGAAATCTATGTGAAGTCAAGTTGGAGAAGAAAAAAAAATGACAGCACCTGACTAAAACTTCAAAGCTAGTCTCAGGAGGTAGGGGAAAAATGCTGGGAGTTTTATAGTTTCCCATAAAAAGCCCGGGGTTTATATAGGAGTAAACCTGAGACCGGCTGCTCCAGCATGAGCCATAATTCACTCGGAGACTGACTGGCCAGGACCGTGGCCTCAACAGAGCTAAGAGTGGCTCATTCCAGCGCCTGTAGCTCCGTCTATAACATCAAACGATTGTACCTGTAAAGCAGCCCTTGCGCCACCTCTGCTCCTGCCATGACCCCGGGCAGCTGGGGGCAGCTCGGAGTCAGTTAACACGGTGGGAGCTCAACCACGAGGATGGTCAGTAAGGTAACACTCACTTACAGTCTAGAAGCACTAAGTCGACATGATAGCATAAAACTCATATTATCAAATGCTCAGAGATTGTATTTCTCGGGGTGGAAAAAAAATACAGTAAACAGAGTTGGCCCCATCTCCGCCACTATTTCAGATGTGCACACTAACATAATGCACAAGACAGACAGAACTGTGTCTGTTTCCTATGAATCTGCAATGAAGCCCCTCGTTGATAAATCACCTCCAACTGGAGTGCAGGAATTTACCAGCTTAATGAAAAAGTCATGTTTAAGCTGGAAGGAGTTGTTCTGCATGGCTCTGGGTTTTCTAATCACCCTATGGAGGCCTCAGGAGAAGGGGTGCTGTGGAGCATAGTGCAGCGGGGGAGGCTTGCCATGTCAGGGGCATGGATCCAATAAGTGTAACGGCCTCAAATGCGTTCAGCACAAGTACTGGTGTGTACTGTATGCTAATATCGTCATCATTAACCATTGGAAGTCTGATCTTAAAAATGACACCAAAAAAGAGAAAAGATTTGTTTGTGTGTAGTCAAGGTCAAGAAATTACTGATAAGACAAGAAACAAAATAATGCAAAGCTTTAGGATGCTTATGCTGACCAAGAGAAATAACAATCCCTGAAATGTGTTCTAAAAGTCATTCACCAGTGATGGGATGTGTTGATTTTTATCCATCTATTCATTACACATTTACAAATTACAAGATAAGAAAGACAATGAGCTTCAAACACACACCCCTCCCACCCCCCAGGGCGAAAAAAAAATTCTGCTGATTTTTCTCTATGTTCAAAAGTTGAACAAATACTGAAGGACGACATATTGTAAAAGAGTCATAAAGGTCTTCCTGTACTGCATATCTTTACGGTTGTATGCATTAACTGACCACAAAATGTATTTTTAAACTTCATAGGACAATTAATTAGAATTTTATCCTGCCAAATATCGGAATCGGCATCAGCTTCACAAAATTTATGTGTACCTGGCCCTAAGATATATACAATTACATAGATATTTAAAATATATAGATATTTAAAATTTGAATCTCTTGGCCTGTAAAATCAAAGACAGACTAGATGACTTGAAATGACCTTATATGCTCCAATATTTTTCTCACTTGTCCTTCTCATGAGGTGCACTTCAACACTTAGTTCTTTTTACAAAGTTTAAAAAGTCTATGATGGCTTAGCAAAGCTTTTTCCGCAGAGCTCCTTTCCTCTCTCTGTGGAGGCAGTTGCTCTATGCTTTTTCAGGTAAAGTGAGAGAGAGAGAGAGATGGGACGGTGTGGGCACCACCCCATCCTCTCACTCACAACTCCACAGTGCACCTTGCCCTTTGAGTGGGCACCACTCGCCTGTATCAGTTTCACCACCCACCTAGAGCACGGCATACATCTACATTTCCATCCACTTAAACGCGCAAGTAAAAGTGCACCTTTAACACAAAACTGTGTGGTTGTTGAGAGAGTCGGACTCACGCAAGATGGAGGTGGGTATTACTGGAAGGGTGGATGGGAGACGAAGAGACGGTAATTCCGACGAATGGCTCCCAATGGAGCTTTATAATACAGCACGCGCACACAGACACAAATAAAAGTATAGACAAAAAGCACAACATATATTAACACACATGCACAGACAGACTTGTGCACGCACGTGAAACCGCAAGCCATTAAGTTCATACCCTAATTTCCACCATTACATTTGGCAGTGCTGTTAATACAAAATTAATGCATTAAAACAGATGGCTATCTGTGAGCTAAATAGCTATCAATTCCAAGGGAGCTGCCAAACCTCTCCCTCTGAGAGAGCCAGGGAGACTCGGCTCTGAAATTGCTTTGCTCTTCTCCCCCCAACCAAAAAGTTTTTCTCTTCTGAATGATGGCACAGGTTAGAATACGGACACATGGAAGTCCTAAGATCTCTTCATTAAAATTCAGCCACTAATGGTTACAGTTTACTCATGTAGAAAATTTATTTCACGCTGTTAGGATAAAATCTGCCCACTGGGGCGAAAAGTAAAAAAAGCTGTGGTTGAAGTCTCATTGTGGGACAAACATG